TTACTCATTTAAATCCCCAAGGTCAAACCTCCAGCTACAAATAATTCAAACTTTATCTTCTATGGCCATAGAACAATATTTATCTTCATAAATACGTGAAGAAATAACAACAAAACGAGTCCAAGATATCACAACTATAACATAGTTGATTATAAATATATTTACAATAAATATATCTATGTAAAAAGAATATATTAAGAATACCAATGATATAAATAAAAATGACCATCATTACAATATAAAAGATGAACACCTTAATAATTATTATAGACAAAAATAATCAAAGGTTAAGCAAATAAATGAGGTTAGGGACACCCCACTAAATAAATATACATAAAAAAAATAACATAAATAAATAAAAATAAGAGTAGATAAAATTTTAAAGAGATAAGGTTCTCCTCCCCCTTACCTTGTTATTTTGAAGAACACAAGAAGGAAAATTTTGCTCGTCACTTTCTTCGTAATTTTCTCACTTTCACTCTCAGTTTCACTTTCAATCTTTCCTTTCTTACTTTCACTCTCTGTTTCTACTTCTCGGTGCCTTATTCTTGCCTATTTATAGGCAAATTGTAATGATTACATGAAGATGATTTTTTTTTACAAGATTACGTTACGTGGCTAAAGATTCGTAAAGGATAAAATTTCATCCGTTTAGCAGTGATAAGTTTTATCCCCCGCATTTAATGCTTCTCACTTTTTTTTTTTTATTTTTAAAACCAAATGCAAATTTGTAGGATTCGAACCCTGGTTCCCTTAAATGATAGTCACATGTCCTACCCACTAAGCCATTTTATTTTATTTGTTCATATCATCATTCAAATTTATAATAAATTCTTCTTTTTAGCTAATATTATAAATATTTATAACATAACTAAATAACTTATATGTATATATATATATTTTTGGTTTTCTATTTCTAAGATAAAAATAAAATACTAGTGTTTATATATTATATATATATATAAAAAAAAAATTAATTACACATGGAATAATAATAATATTGAAAATATTGTTCCTGAAATTTAGGATATTACATCTATCCACCTTCACTATAACATAAGTCTACCACAACTTGGAATAATGAAAATTGATTATGAGTACCTCTACTCCAAAACCAAATGTGAATCCCAAGACTATCCCTGCCGGTAATCCAACAATATAGTAGCAGCCAATGTTGATGTATGCTACTAGAGATTGCCAGCCAGCTCCAACAGCAACACCTAAAACCATGGTCAACAAAGGTATAAAATTAAAATAAGATAAAAAAGTGTCATCTTAATTGAATAATGTAATTTGACTAAGTTTAATGTCTTGTGAGACTAACCGGATAGGACCGGTTGAAGGCTGTTCAGAACTACTGTGACACCGAGTAAAGCAGCAAGTTTTGTTGTTTCATTAGCAACTTCAACGCTCGTGGTAAACAAGTAGGGAAAATAATCTTTGGTTGCTAACACTACGATCATGACAATAATACCAATAGACACTGATGTGATCGAAACCACCCACACTGCAAACCTTGCTGTCTTGAAATCTCCAGCCCCCAGTTCATTTGATACTCGCACACTGTCCATAAGTTAAAACAATTTAAGTACTTCAGAATATTCATTAGTAACCTTTATATGCTACTGCCAGCTGTGAATACAAGGATACTAAATCACTCAGATTATCACCTTATAGCAGCATTGAACCCAAATGCGATCATGGCATCCCAGCCATTTATGCTCATACTGTAAAGATGGAAACAAGTATTAGTAACCGATATTGTTCTTCGATTTTTTTATGTTCACTCAAATCAATATAGTGGCACTTGGGATGATATGGTGGCATTTACTAAGCAAAGCATCACAATGCATTTAAATTTCGATGTCTATACTATACTATAAAGTAAAACTACTTTATATTATGAGTGCTCATAAGAATTTAAAGGGATGGAGGGAGGGTAGAGAATTTTTTACCAGATAGATATGGCATCAACAGGAATCAGGGGATTTGTCAAACGCCCTGTTATGACCACTATTATCATCAAATACCAAAACTCCAAGCTGCCATATTCCATTTGAAGAGTTAATTAACATTTAGCATCATATTTGGGCAAATGAAAGGAAAATGAAGATAGAGAAAATACCATAACATAACAGCTGAAGCCAAAGAGAGCTTTAGAAAACCAAACAAGTCTACAAAAGCTAGCCATGTGAATCCACTCCAAGCTCCGTCTGATTTAGTGATGAAAATGTACGACAATTGTGCAATGACAATCAACCACCATGATGTGTTTAGAGTAATTGCTGCTCCAGTTAAGCCCCATCCCAACTTCAATATAAGAAGCCAACTAAAAAAAGTGTGTAACACCAAAACAACTGCTGATATCCATAACATCACCAGGACTTTCCTCTGCGCCTGTAAGAACTTTTGGATTGGAAAGCTAACAGCATATGCAAACAATTGCGGTAACATCCATAGAGCAAATTTTCCTACCAAAACAGAGTAGAAGTAAATAATACAACGTGCTCCTAATAATTATAACAATATTGATACATACATGAACATTCAACACCATTACTCCAAACACATTATTAATACTTTAAAATTTTTTATATTTTTTGTTTGTTTAAAAAGTGATAATTGACATATATGATTTATAATTATTATTTTTTTTACTTAACTTATGACTTTAATTCTAATTTATTTTATGAATTAATCACCTATTTACAGTGACATAGTATAATTAAAAGATATAATTGGTTGTGTAAATTTTACACTAACAATCTATACGTGATTAACTCTTATTTTATTATATAAGATAACATAAAGCTTTTAAAAAAATCATTACAAACCAAATTAATCATGTCACGTATTAATTACAAGAAAACCACTGTAAATATTTAAGTGTTTTCAGCCAAACACAAAGGAAAATTAAACTAATCACTGTTTACTGTAAAGGGGCTGGTGGATGGAGGGTATGACACATTACACATTGATACAACGACCAGTCAGCAGAAATAACAGAGTGTCAGAGTCTAAAACGTAGACTTTTAGGGTGCGTCATGCGTGAGAGGGAGAAACAAAAGAAACAAATCCAATGTATAGACTGTTTAGACAAAAGTTAAATGCGTTTTTTTTTATAACTTCACCATTGAAAAATAAATATTTTTCAGTAAAAAAAGTTTTAAAAAACATTTATCGTATTCAAACATGCTTATACTATTTTATAATTGTTTTCCTTCATAAGTAATAATAAATAATCGAATTAGAAATCGTGATTCAATAATTATAATCCATATATGATACATAAGAAGAGTTATAATTACACTAGTATAACTTTTACTAAGTATTATACTGTTCAATAACTTTATATTAATTGTAAATTTTATAAATTCAACCGTTAGATTGAAAGTTCATATAACTTTATATGTGTATATTAAATTTTGTTAAAATTGAATAACAACTTGAAGGTAATCAAAGTGTTTATATTTTATTATATTTTGAAATGAATATATTACATCAACTTTGTTTTATAAGAATGAAGTATCAAATCATTTTGGATTAATATGAAATTTTGTATATATAATCTAAGTGATATGAACTTTCAATCTAACGGTTAGATTTACAAAATTTACATTTAATATAAAATTATTGAGCAGTGTAATACTTAGTAAAAGTTACACCGATGTTATTATAACTCTCCTCATGATATATATGTCTTACTTTTTTTATTTTTCTTTTAAAAAAAAAAGAGTTTGGTAACTTACACTTACTTATTTTTTAGAAGGGATAAATTAGGAAGCTACACCTAGATGTATTTTAAAAATATGTTAAATAACTCTTTTGATTTCTTTATAATATCAAATTAGAAATTTTAGTCTCTTTATTTTTATATTCACAATTTTAATCTCTTAAATTTATAAAATTTACAATTTGATCATTGGATATTTATTCGTTAATAAAATTATAATATTTGTCATAATTTGACGTTAAGGAGATAACCTAATAATTAATATTTAATAATATTCAGGTTAAATTTTATTTTTAGTTTTCATTTTTTTATAAAAGTGGTAAAATGGTATAAAAATAAGAATTAAAAGTGTAATTTATTTAAATATTAATTATTATGTCATTTAAGTTACAATGAACATTACAATTTTAATAATTAACCAACAAAAATTTATGAATTTTATAAACTTAAAGAATGAACATTTAATGTTAGGTTTATAAATTTTATAAAATTAACATATTAAAATTACAAATTTAAAAATAGACGAAAAAAAATTATAAATTTAATATTATAAAAAGATTAAAAATGTAATTTAGCTTAAAAAATATTATAATTATACTAATTGTAGATGATAATTATATTTTTTATATGTTATTATTTAAAAATAAATATAAAAGTAAAGTTGCTGATATTATTAACGATTTTATTTATTCTATTATTTCATTTTTTACTTGACTTGTTTATATTTAAGGTGATAATTCACTACTCATACTTGTAATTTCTATTTGAAAATCTTCGTTCATAATAATAACTTTGTCCATTTTAAAAAGTTATTAAAATTCTATGCAATTTAAGTAATTTTGAAATAAAATTATCCTGTGTCCGTGTCATAAAAAAAAAAAAAAAAGTCTCATATACTATACACATTTATGGTACTATGTAATAGACATGGACTATTACCTAACAAAACCACGATTTATTACCCACCATTCACCGTTGAAATTCAAGGATGCATAAGGGTCAAGAGGACTGGGGACCACATAAAAATAATTAGTGCGAGAATGGCCCAGATTCAGATATAGGAGTGTTCCAAGATTGAATCATTGAAAAATTTATATTAAACCGAATTAATTCATTTTTTATAAAATAAATTTATAAATCAATTTTTTTTTTAAATTGGATCAGTTTAATAAGATGCGGTTATTTATTTTTTATTCATATATTGATCAATTTCTTTTAAAAAATCGAATCGAACTAAATTGATCCACTTTATAAAAATAGATCAAATAACTAAATTAATTTTATAAAGTAGATGGATTCAGATTTTTTCTTTAAAATGAATCGAATTTTTTAATATGGATTAGTTTGATTATAAATCGATTTAGATCAATTTGGAGTGTTTGTACACCCCTACTCAAAGAAGGTACGCCTGATGGAGAAATGCTCTTGTCTAAATATGTATACTATTTTTTTATATTATAATATTAATACAAAGTAATTTCTTTTAAATATAGTGAAAACATTTCAACATAATATATTCCATATCAAACTTTGAATAATTTAGTTAAGGAGTACAAACTCTAACCACTAATACCAACTAATATTGGTTACAGTAAATTTACATGAAACTATAAATTTTTTATAATTTATTTTATAAAATTTGGCTACTTTTTACTCTATAGTTCGAACAATTTTACTTTTTAATTTTTATAATTAAAAATATTTTATTTTAGTCAAAATAAATATATATATATATATATATATCATTTTATTTTTTTAATCTTTGTTGACTATTTTTATAGAAATTAAAAAGAAAAGTTTATGTAAATATAAAAAATATTAAAAATAATTGTAAAGAATAAAATGGAAATTTAATGTAAATATAGGAATTAAAAGAAAAAATTATATATATTGAGACTAAAATGAAAAATTTGTAATTATGAAAATTAAAAGGTGAATTTTATAAAATAATACGCAAAAAAATATTTTATTTTATAAATGCATTCAAATTAATATTTTGTTTCCTTTCTCATTTTTATATCTAAATTCTAAATTAAAATTTGATGAGATTAAAATTTATCAATATTTTGATTATTAGTTTTCGTTTTATTAGAGTGAATTAGATCTCATAAACTAGAGTGAACCCATTCCGCCTAACTCATTCATAGAAAATCAACTGAAAAAATACAACCAAAACTCAAATTATACAAAAAAAAACTAAAAATAAGCTATCATATTTATAAAGAGAAAAAAAATATATGTGTAACTTAATGTGAGACTAAGAAATTTCATTGATAATAGTCGATAACACATGAGTAAATTGAATGAAAAATGTTCTTAATATTATTCAGATGCAACTTAATTAAGTAGAAGGTTCTTAATATTTTTGCTAGTGGAAATGCTTGGTGTGGTGAAGATTTGAAAAATACTTCTCACCTATTATTCGGATGTTATTATGCCTATTCTGTATGGTTATCTGTTTTTGTTTGGTTTGGTGTTTCAATAGTTTTACACAACTCTTATCATGAAAATTTTTCTCATTTTATTGGATTTCCTAGATGTAGTGGTAGAAATAGGATGAGGTGGTCTGTGGTTTGGTTAGCCACAATTTGGTCTCTGTGGCTTGCTAGAAATGATGTCATTTTTAAAGACAAGGTGGTGGCAATTACAGATTTAGTGGAATTAATCAAATTACGTAGCTGGAACTAGATTAAGACCAAAGATAAGTAATTTTTTTACCCATTCTCAACGTGATTTTCTTCCCCTGGTGTTTGCCTTAACTTCTGGAATAATGATTCTTTCTGATTCTGTACACACCATGGTGTTAATTTTGTATTTGGTTTTCTGATTACTGAACTTGTTTGATGACATTTTATGGTCCTATTTTTGTAATGGTGGTAGACATTACAATATGGTGATTACCTTTTGTATGGACTACATTGGATTTTGTTTAGGTAACTTTGTATTTTGTAATGGGTTGGGGTACCCCTTGTACTCCCCTTAATTTATTTTGCTTATAAAAAAATTGAATGAAAAATGTGATAATTTTTTAAAAAAGATTATCGAAACTAAATTATTTGTTTAATACAATTATTTTTAATAAAATTGTGACTATATTTTATAGAATGTCTATTTACATTTTAGATATATGAGAGGACTTTATTATTACTTCACCGAACTCATAAAATAGCAGGACCAGTCATTTAAAAGTAATTTAATATATTTTAGTACACTATAATTTTGATATAGTATAATGATAGAATGGAAGTATAAAACAAACCAACAGCAGCTGAGATCTCAGCAGTCTCTCTAATGAGCCTCAAGAGGGGGGGAGACCAAACATAAACAGGCACCAAAACAAGGGCAGTGGTGACCAAGATGACCCATGATCTTTGCATGTACACTCCCAACATCCTGATTTGACCCGCACCGTATGCTTGCCCACAAAGTGTCTCCAAGGCACTCCCCATTCCCAACTAAATAATTCATTAATTTCACATTAATAGTGACATAAGATTTTTTTAAATTTTAATACATATTTAATTTTTTTTTATTAAAAAATTCAATTAGATAGTTAAATTAAAAGAATGTAATTCAATCCTTCATTTTCTTTATATACTTGTAATTTAGTTCTTATGATTAAATATTTGATTACAATTCATAAAATTTAATAGAATATTTTTATATTTTCATAATTAAACAACCATATCAAATTTTTATCTCATGATATCATCCACATATATTATGTTTTAATTTCTACTTATAGAAATTTATTTCATGAATTGAAAATGAACTTCTAATTTAAGGGGTTAAAATATTTTTTGGTCCCTACCATCTCACTTATTTTATCTTTTAGTTCTTACAATATAAAATAGAACTTTTTAGTCTCATTCTATATATATTTTTTAATCTTTTTAGCTCCTATAATTTAAAAAAGATATTTTTAGTTCTTATACTTGTAGTTTTGCAATCCTTCTAATCTTTGTCGTTATTTTTTTTGTAATATTGTTTCTTTTGTGTTGACGTGACATAGATATTAACTAAATTTTGTGTATCTAATGTCGAATTTATTATACTGGAATTACTATAAATTAGGTCTTCGAATACTTTATACCTCTTTTGTATCCTTAGTAACAATGTCTATTATTGAGACTTTTTGTTTTATTCTCTTAAAATTGAAAACCTCTACCACTATCTTAAATTATAGGGACTAAAAATAATTAAAAATAAATAAATTTAAGAATTAAAAATATTTATTTTAAACTACATGCACTAAAGAGTAAAATAAGTGAAATTATAGAAATAAAAAAATATATTTACCTACAAACAAATCTAAACTAAATTCATCCTATTTAATGATACCATTACTAACATATTCTTACATTTAATTGAGATTGTATATATTTTCAGTGTTCTAAGGAAGGATAATTTTAAAAAATAAATTATTTTTAAATGAAATTAACAAAATTAAATGATTTAAACTAATTTTTTAATATATTTTTTTTGGTGTTGTTTATATTAGTGAAAGAGTAGATATTTAGAATTTATTTAGGAATAAGATTTTCACATTTTAAATAGAAATCAAAGTCAGATTTTGGTAAAAAGAGAGTTTATTTGGATACCATGATCCCAAAGGCGAGGCCACCAACAACAGAATTTCCAATTGCAACAGCAGCAAGATCGAGCTCATCAACGAGGCCAGTGAATGTTTGAGTGAGTGCACCAAGCGAGTACACACATTCTTGAAAACCCTAAACCCTAGACCCTAAACCCTAAACCCGAATCACCTGACTCCTCGTTGTTATCTAACAATAGTGGAGTGTCCATAGACATTCTTACTTCCCCACCCAATGAGACACCTATGATACTATTATCACCTTTTTTTTCTCTTTACTATACCAGAATTTCAACTGGCTTGCCTTCCAAAGCTTGCTTTGCATTAACTCATATATATATATATATATATATATGTTGGAGAAGTGTGGGCTACGAAAATGTGAATGACCAGTGAGGAATATCTATAAGTGCCAGCTACGATCATTATATTGGAACTGAACGGTGGTTGCTACCTAAATAATAATATTATTTGTTTTATTCTCTTTTGGTTCAATCCTAAACTAATTCTAACTAAAGAAATATGCCTTGATTGACTCATACAAGAGCAAGGCTCGTCTTTCTTGTAAATTCACTCCATCTTTCAAAGAAACCTTAATACTTGATTTACTCTACCCATCCCCCAAAGCATAATTATTAAAATGAGAGTAAAACAAATAAAAACATATTAAACCTTGGTAAGAATTGATATGGAAGAATATTCATTTTTAAATAACTATTGTTAATTTTGTATTCTAAAACAAGTTTAAACAGGTAAAAACTCATATATGATCTCTTTGTTACAATAAAAAAGACTTTTAATATTATTTAATATTATTTTTAGTGATGATAAAAATGATTATAAAATATTTTACCAATATTTTTACATTTATTATTATATGCAGTGTTAGTAAAATATTTAATAACAATTATTTTTCATACTAGTAAAGATTTTTATAATAGTTTAAAAAAAATATGAGTTTTTTTTTACATTTTTTATTGATATTTATAATGGTCACTAATATTAGTTTTAAAATGTTTATAAATACGTATTTTATAACTTTTTATTATTATTACTAAAAGTTTAAGAAAGTATTTCTAATTGACTTAGTGCGTGTATCAATGGTGGGTAATCCTTTTCAGAGTAGATCAAGGATAACTTTGATATCGTCTTAAAATAGTGTATTGTGGGCCAACTTAACATACAAAATTGGTTTGTAAGGTGAGAATTATACGTCTTCCATTTATATACTTTTTAATTTTTTTATCTCTAGTCGATGTAAGATTTAAATTTTTCTTAATAAAATGAATTAAAAATTACCCTTATTTTTTACCAGTCATTTAATAATTATTTTTATAAATATATTTTTAGTAACTATTATTTATTATCATTAATATTTTTATTAAAAAATAAAATAAAAATAATTAATTTATTGTCATTAATTAATTATTGTTAATAATAATTTTTTGTATATACACATCGATTTTATTTAATTATTGTTAATCTCTAGCCACATTGGACATATAATATGATCCTTTTCCTGTATTTTAAAATTTTACTTAAATTAATTTTCTTATAATTTTATATTACTTTATTAGCTATGTAATTATATAAAAAAAATTAACTATATATTATTGCTAGTTTAACTAAAATCTCAACCATAAATCAACATAATTAAACTAATAAACCCCAAAATAGTATTAGCCGATTCAACGATGAATTCAAATTTAAAAACATTGGTACAAAGGTTTCAACTACGGGTTGCACGTCATCTACGTGCATACACCAAATTTTCATCACATCAAAAATTTCAAAATATAGAAGCTAAAATAGGTTTTTGATTTTAAAAACTACCAACATAATTAGTTTTCGCTTTAAGGACTAGTTAATAAAGAGAATAATACTTCGACTACTAAAAATTTGAGGTAAATGCTGTCATGCGAGTGTGACACACTTTCAGCCTTTCATGTTCATTATCTTAGTTGTAGTCATTGCTCACAATTGATCCTCCCCATTTTTTCACGCGACTCTCTGCTTGTTCAGCCTGTGAATTCCATTCGCAACAAAATAAATTAACAAATAATAGCTTACTTATTTGTAAACAAAAGAAAAATGCTAATTCTTATTTCATATCACCCTAACTCAATTAGTACATGAGAGAGTACTAAATATGCAAAAACTCCTACCTCTTTTTTCCAATTGGTTATTGAAGTGACGACTATAAGGATTATGGTCTGCAAAGCTATGCCTCCAATCATTCCTGACCAAATACCCTGAATTGCGCAAGCAGCATAAACATTAAGAATAAAAAGCAAACCATGATACTACAACAATAATTTATAAAACAATCACCACCAACAAACAATAAAGATTATTAAAAAATTGATTTCATATCTAATTCAATCTTACAAATTAACTTATAAAGTAAGAATTCTTCTTTAATTATATATTACTTTGTGTATTTCATTAGTTGATGTAAAATTTTCAAAACCTTTTCATTGAGAACTAAATATTTAGAACATAAACTTTATAAAATTAAACATTTGTAACTAATTAGTCCCGTATCAACTCAATAAGCCTAATAAATTATTGGAATTAACTCTCATATCATGTTTAAAGTGAATTAATAATTAATAATAACGTTGATTATGTATCCCTTTTGATTAGTAGTGAATTCAAGATTCTAGATTAGTGAAACAATTTTTTTTATAAATAAAAGTTAATAATATATATATATATATATATATATAAAGAATAAAACATAAATATATATATAAAAAAACATGTGAATTTGATATATAAAATTAGAGATGTAAAATATAAATTTATTAAAATACACTAATAATTTAATAAAACAAAAATATATCTATCCACCTTCACTATAATAGGTCTACCACAACTTGGGAATAATGAAAATTGATTATGAGTACCTCTACTCCAAAACCAAATGTGAATCCCAAGACTATCCCTGCCGGTAATCCAACAATATAGTAGCAGCCAATGTTGATGTATGCTACTAGAGATTGCCAGCCAGCTCCAACAGCAACACCTAAAACCATGGTCAACAAAGGTATAAAATTAAAATAAGATAAAAAAGTGTCATCTTAATTGAATAATGTAATTTGACTAAGTTTAATGTCTTGTGAGACTAACCGGATAGGACCGGTTGAAGGCTGTTCAGAACTACTGTGACACCGAGTAAAGCAGCAAGTTTTGTTGTTTCATTAGCAACTTCAACGCTCGTGGTAAACAAGTAGGGAAAATAATCTTTGGTTGCTAACACTACGATCATGACAATAATACCAATAGACACTGATGTGATCGAAACCACCCACACTGCAAACCTTGCTGTCTTGAAATCTCCAGCCCCCAGTTCATTTGATACTCGCACACTGTCCATAAGTTAAAACAATTTAAGTACTTCAGAATATTCATTAGTAACCTTTATATGCTACTGCCAGCTGTGAATACAAGGATACTAAATCACTCAGATTATCACCTTATAGCAGCATTGAACCCAATTGCGATCATGGTGTCCCAGCCATTTATGTTCATACTGTAAAGATGGAAACAAGTATTAGTAACCGATATTGTTCTTCGATTTTGTTATGTTCACTCAAATCAATATAGTGGCAGTTGGGATGATATGGTGGCATTTACTAAGCGAAGCATCACAATGCATATACTATAGGGTAAAAATGTATGCTACTAGAGATTGCCAGCCAGCTCCAACAGCAACACCTAAAACCATGGTCAACAAAGGTATAAAATTAAAATAAGATAAAAAAGTGTCATCTTAATTGAATAATGTAATTTGACTAAGTTTAATGTCTTGTGAGACTAACCGGATAGGACCGGTTGAAGGCTGTTCAGAACTACTGTGACACCGAGTAAAGCAGCAAGTTTTGTTGTTTCATTAGCAACTTCAACGCTCGTGGTAAACAAGTAGGGAAAATAATCTTTGGTTGCTAACACTACGATCATGACAATAATACCAATAGACACTGATGTGATCGAAACCACCCACACTGCAAACCTTGCTGTCTTGAAATCTCCAGCCCCCAGTTCATTTGATACTCGCACACTGTCCATAAGTTAAAACAATTTAAGTACTTCAGAATATTCATTAGTAACCTTTATATGCTACTGCCAGCTGTGAATACAAGGATACTAAATCACTCAGATTATCACCTTATAGCAGCATTGAACCCAATTGCGATCATGGTGTCCCAGCCATTTATGTTCATACTGTAAAGATGGAAACAAGTATTAGTAACCGATATTGTTCTTCGATTTTGTTATGTTCACTCAAATCAATATAGTGGCAGTTGGGATGATATGGTGGCATTTACTAAGCGAAGCATCACAATGCATATACTATAGGGTAAAAGTAAAACTACTTTATATTATGAGTGCTCATAAGAATTTAAAGGGATGGAGGGAGGGTAGAGAATTTTTTACCAGATAGATATGGCATCAACAGGAATCAGGGGATTTGTCAAACGCCCTGTTATGACCACTATTATCATCAAATACCAAAACTCCAAGCTGCCATATTCCATTTGAAGAGTTAATTAACATTTAGCATCATATTTAGGCAAATGAAAGGAAAATGAAGATAGAGAAAATACCATAACATAACAGCTGAAGCCAAAGAGAGCTTTAGAAAACCAAACAAGTCTACAAAAGCTAGCCATGTGAATCCACTCCAAGCTCCGTCTGATTTAGTGATGAAAATGTACGACAATTGTGCAATGACAATCAACCACCATGATGTGTTTAGAGTAATTGCTGCTCCAGTTAAGCCCCATCCCAACTTCAATATTAGAAGCCAACTAAAAAAAGTGTGTAACACCAAAACAACTGCTGATATCCATAACATCACCAGGACTTTCCTCTGTGCCTGTAAGAACTTTTGGATTGGAAAGTTTACAGCATATGCAAACAATTGTGGTATCATCCATAGAGCAAATTTTCCTACCAAAACAGAGTAGAAGTAAATAATACAACCTGCTCCTAATAATTGTAACAATATTGATACATACATGAACATTCAACACCATTACTCCAAACACATTATTAATACTTTTAAATTTTCTTTATATCTCATTATTTACGATCTTTTGTTTGTTTAAAAGTGATAATGGACAAATATGATTTATAATTATTCTTTTTTATTTAATTTATGACTTCAATTCCATTTTTTTATTATATAAGATAACATAAAGCTTTTAAAAAAATCATTATACACCAAATTAATCACGTCTCGTATCAATTACAAGTAAACCGTAGTAAATATTTAAAAGTGTTTCCAGCCAAACACGAGGGAAAATTAAACTAATCACTGTTTACTGTAAAAGTGCCGGTGGATGGAGGGTATGAGTCTATCTCACATTACACACTAATACTATGTCCAGTCAGCAGAAATAACAGAGTCTAAAACTTTGACTTTTAGGGTGCTTCATGCGTGAGAGGGAGAAACAAAAGAAACGAATCCAATGAATAAACTGTTAAGATAAAAGTTAAATGCGTTTATTGAAAATGTGAATAACAACGTTGATATAATTTTTATTAAGAATTATATGTTGAATAACTTTATATTAAAAATGTATTTTGTAAATTTAATTATTAGATTGAATGTTCATATCATTTTATATGTTTATATTAAATTTTATTCAAATTGAACAATAACTTGAAAGTAATTAAATAGTTTATATTTTAGTATATTTTGAAATGTATATATTACGTCAATTTTATTTTATAAGAATGAAGTATTAAATCATCTTGATTTAATATAAAATTTTGTATATATGATCTAAGAGATGTGAACTTTTAATCTAACGGTTGGATTTACAAAATTCACAATTAATATAAAGTTATTGAGCGGTGTAATATTTAGTAAAAGTTACACCAGTGTAATTATAATTATATCGGTATAACTTTTACTAAGTATTACACCGCTTAATAACTTTATATTAAATGTAAATTTTTGTAAATCTAACTATTAAATTGAAAGTTCATATCATTTAGATCATATATACAAAATTTTATATTAGTCCAAGATGATTTGATACTTCATTTTTATAAAATAAAATTAACGTAATATATTCATTTCAAAATACATTAAAATATGAACACTTTGATTACCTTTAAGTTATTATTCAATTTTAACAAAATTTAATATATACGTATAATGTGATATGAAATTTCAATCTAACGGTTGAATTTACAAAATTCACAATTAATATAAAGTTATTAGGCAGTGTAATACTTAGTAAAAGTTACACCAGTGTAATTATAATCCCTCATAATATAAAACTTAATGTGAGACTAAGAAATTTTATTGATAATAGTCTATAACACATGAGTAAATTGAATGAAAAATGTGATAATTTTTTTTAAAACAATTATTGAAACTAAATTATTTGTTTAATACAATTATTTTTAATAAAATTGTGACTATATTTTATAGAATGTCTATTTACATTTTAGATATATGAGATGACTTTATTATTATTTCACTGAACTCATAAAATAGCAGGACCATTCATTTAAAAGTAATTTAATATATTTTAGTACACTATAATCTTCATATAGTATAATGATAGAATGGAAGTATAAAACAAACCAGCAGCATCTGAGATCTCAGTAGTCTCTCCAATGAGCCTCAAGATGGGGGGAGACCAAACATAAACAGGCACCAAAACAAGGGCAGTGGTGACCAAGATGACCCATGATCTTTGCATGTACACTCCCAACATCCTGATCTGACTCGCACCGTATGCTTGCCCACAAAGTGTCTCCAAGGCACTCCCCATTCCCAACTAAACAATTCATTAATTTCACATTAATAGTGACATAAGATTTTTTTTAAGTTTAATACATATTTAAATTTTTTTTTAAAAAATTCAATTAGATAGTTAAATTAAAAGAATGTAATTCAATCCTTCATTTTCTTTATATACTTGTAATTTAGTTCTTATGATTAAATATTTGATTACAATTCATAAAATTTAATAGAATATTTATATATTTTTATACTTAGACAACCATATCAAATTTGTATCTCATGGTATATCTACGTATATTATGTTTTAATTTCTATCTATAAAAACTTATTTCATAGATTGTAAATGAACTTCTAATTTAAGGAGTTAAAATATTTTTTGGTTCCGACAATCTCACTTACTTTACTTTTTAGTCCTTATAATTTAAAATATTCTAATTAGTCCCTCTAAAGTTATTTTTTATTTTATTTTTTTAGTCCTTATAATTTAAAGTAGATCTTTTTAGTTCTTATACTTGCTGTTTTGGAATCCTTTTCTAATTGAATTTTGTATGTTTAATATCGACTTTATTTTGCTAGAGTTATTTTAAATTAAATCTACCACGTCAACACAAAAAAGGATTTCAAAACTGCAAGCTAGAAACTAAAAAGATCTATCTTAAGTTACAGAAATTAAAAATAATTAAAAAATAAGTTTAGGGACTAAAAATACCTATTTTAAACTACATAAACTAAAAAATAAAATAAGTAAAATTATAGAAATAAAAAAAAATATTTACCTATAAACAAATATCAACTAAGACTTTTACATTTTGAATGGGAATCAAAGTCAGATTTTGGCAGCAGTAAGAGTCCGTTCCGTCCCTTAATTAGTTAATACCAGGATGAAAATTGAATAGAAAAGAGTGAAAAAAAGAGAGTTTGGATACCATGATCCCAAAAGCGAGGCCAGCAACAACAGAATTTTCAACTGCAACAGCAGCAAGATCGAGCTCACCAACGAGGCCAGTGAATGTTTGAGTGAGTGCACCAAGCGAGTACTGACATAAAGAAGTCAGAATCGCGGGGCCTGCTATTTTCCATAGCTTTTTCGACTCAAACCCGAATCTCTCAACCAAGTTCCATAGCTTCCCCTCCTCAACATAATCACCTGACTCCTCGTTGTTATCTAACAATAGTGGAGTGTCCATAGCCATTCTTACTTCCCCACACCTATGATACTAGTGTCATCACTTCTAAATATACCTTTTTTTCTCTTTACTATACGAGAATTTCAACTGGCTTGCCTTCCAAAGCTTGCTTTGCATTAACTCATATATATATATGTTGGAGAAGTGTGGGCTACGAAAATGTGAATGACCAGTGAGGAATATCTAGAAGTGCCAACTACGGTCATTATGTATAGAACTGAACGGTGGTTGCTACCTAAATAATATACTACATACACTACACATGCGGTATCTTTAGTTTCAGAAAACAAAATTATGGTATGGGTTTAATTTATATACTAGTATTTTGGAATCTACACACCACACATTAAATATTTATTATACAGCTAAAAATTTATAATAAATTATATATAAATAAATAATATGTTTTATTTTAAATGTTTAAACATATAAATTGTATTGTAGTTTTTTATGAATAACTTATATTATAGTATGAAATTATTTTTATGAATTAAGTATATTTTTAGTCATAAAAAATTGGCTCTATTTGATTTTAATTCTTACTTAAAAGAAAATTTATTGATTTTACTCCTTCAAATTTATATAATACTCATTTTTATTTTTATTTTAAATATTGTTAACTTTTTATGTTAAAATATGTCACCTTAGTACCCAAATCACTATTAGTTTTAATGTTTTATTGACATTAGACAATTTTAATTTAAATATTAATTATTTTATCATTATGTTAAGATTTAGGATAAGAATTAATTTTACACCTAAAATTTGTCATTATTCACTCTCGAACCCAACATGAAAGTCTTAGAAGTGTCCTATTCTGTTTTTTATTTCTCTATTTTGCTTTCACCTTCAAAGCATAAGAAGTCATGGGTCTCTCGTTTCTAAAAGGTAACACCTTAAAGTTTAAGGAGAGAGAAAAATAAGTATTGCCTAAAGTAATTAAAATGTTGAGGGTTTCGAGAGCTGCTTAGAGTTAAACAATGTCGTTGAAAATTGAGAATTTGAAACTTAAACAATTAAATCAAACGTTTATGGATAAAAGGACTTTGCTTTGAGTTTGTGAGAAGATTTTATTAGAATTCAATGGAAGACTCTTTGTTCAAGTAAAAAAGGAATTACTAGAAACTCCATGCTTATGTCTATGAGAATAGTGAAAAGTTTTAAGTATAAAATTAATTTTTATCCCCAAAACTTAACTTAAGTTTAAAATAATTAATATTTTAAATTAAAAAAATTCATGTTAATAAAATTTATGGTTATTTGGATGCTAATGTATCCTATTTTAACAACAAAAGTTAACAATTTTAAAAAAATGATTAACAATAGGTATTATATAAATTTTGCGAACTAAAATCAAATAGGGTTAAATTTTGAAGGAGCAAAAGCACATTTAACCCTATTTTTATTTGTCAATAATTTATTTTAAAAATATTAAAATTTAATTCATTAAAAATTAAGAAATAAAAATTAAATTAAATAAAAATTCAATTCCTAAAATCTCTCGTCGAAAAAAAATTCATAAAAATACTTTCATACAAAAAAAAAATATTCATATTTAATATATAAGAGTTGATTTAGCTTAATTCAAAAATATAATTTATATATTTTAAAATATAAAATTAGTTGCATCCACATTAATTTACTTAACTAATAATTATTTCTATTTTTTAATTAAAGATTTAAACCTTAACTCCCAAAGTATAGAATAAATTATATTAAAAGAAATTCATAATGTTAATAAAAAATAGTTATTACTTCGGAGAATTGATATTCATATCTATGCATAATTATCAAGAAATATATAAAATAAGTTGGACAACGTAAAGGCACGTGTAACAGTAAAATGAGTCAAAAAAGTTAACTTTGGCCAAAGATATTGAGTTCTGTTTAGAGTAAATCATTAAACTAGAATGTGAAATTATGATAATAGATCATTTTAGTAAATAAAATTTTAAAGAAAAAGAAAAAGAAATTGGCATTAACTATTACCATGAAAAATAAATAAATTAGTTTGTGTATTTTTTTTATCATGTAAGTAGGATTAATCTTGACATTTTATAGATTTTAGGTAAAGTGATAAATATAAATTTATATATATATTTTTTTTGATAATCATGTTAATAATATTGATTTTATCGATGACTAATCTTTATGAGAGAACTTGATTGATTATCATGATACTTTATTCACGAAGACCAAGTTTAATACCACTTAAACCAATAACTTATTAGTATGAATCCTTATATATAAATATTTTAAAATATAAATATTTATAACATAAATTAAATGCATGATACATTTAAAAATGACATGTTTAATTATGTTAAACAAATAACATAATGTTATATATCAAATCTAAAAAAGATGTACTATATTTTTTCTTTAATTTATTTCTATACTATAGTTTATTACACGGTCTTTACAAGTAACTTTAAAAACTAAAAGTGATATATCTCTAAATTCAAAGAATCAAATAGGGAAAAAATTTTAAAGGACTAAATCCAAACATGAAAAATTCTATAAAAATCAAAAACAATCAAAACATATTTTACTTTTTTATGAATATAGTAGATAAAAAAGCTAGTAATAAAAAAATTATAATCGTATCACAATTTTATAGTTAGAAATATAAAAAAAAAAAATAGTTGTACAAGTAATAATTTTATAACTAAAATATATAGTTTATATAAAGTGAAGAAATTTTGATTTTAGTCCCTATAAATATTTTTTTTTGTTTTTCATCTATAAAATTTGAAACATTTTAGTCCATATTATTTTATGATCATTTTCAACTACTTATATATTTATTATAAGAATAAATGATCATCTTAGGTGGTACTATAATTGTTTGCAATATTATCTTAGCTAAGAAAAATTATAGACTTTTGAAATAAATGTTATTTATCAACTTAAAAAATTAGGGACTAAGACAATAAATTTAGATTTTAGAAGATGAAAATTAAAAGAAAATGTTTTATAAGGACTAAAATCAAAATTTGTTCATTTTATAGACACAAAAATTAATGTTTACTTAAAATGATAAGAAAATAAAAATTATAAGAACCAAAATAAAAACATGTTCATTTTATAGAAATTTAAAACATATTTAAGTTTCTTAAAAGTAATATAAAAATTATTTCAATTATATATATATATATATATATATATTT